CGCCGGCTACAATGCCCAGCTATTTTTTGGTTGCAGCCATCACTGTTGTTTGGCAGGCCCAGGCTGGATTCAAACCCGCCACCTTAGGTGTACGTGGCTGGGCCTTAGCCACTTGAGCCACAGGCGCCAAGCCGAAGTTCCTTTTTAATCACCAAGAAATACTGCACTGTGTTTAATGAAGTTTCTAATATGAAGTATAATATATACACCATTCTCAGAAATCAGTTATGCCATGATACAGATTTATGATTTAATCAGAATCACTATTTTTCAGAGCCAATTAAGCAGAGCCTAGAATCATACTGCCTGGATTCAAAGTCTACCGTAGTCACTTATTAGCTGTCTGAGGTTACTTAACCTCTCTGTTCTTTGGTTTCCTCATTTGTGAAACGTGGCTAATCATACTACTTAAATCAAGCAGTTGTTCTAAGAGTGAAGCCCTTAGAACAAAGCGGAGCACATAGCAAAAGCTGAATGTCAGCTTTTATTATAATCGGGGAAGTAGTTATATTTTAAGCAGAGACACTCTGTGCAATTAACCTGTTTATAATTTAGCAACTTGAATTAAGGATGCTGAACTGGATGGCAAGAATTGAAGGAACTGATAAATCGATCCAGATGGAAACATTCTATCTGCACCTTTTCTTTATAGTTCTAACCTTAAACATACCGGAAATTATTTTCACTCTGCACCTGGCTGTGAAATTGCTATTGTGCTTCTGGCCACACATGTAGCTTAGTAGGTGGGGCACCTGCTGCAGACATCTGGGCTAGCAGGTTCGAACCCATCCCGGGCCAGCTAAAACAATGAAAACTGCAACAAAAAGCTAGGTGTTGTGGCAGGCACCTATAGTCCCAGGTACTTGGCAGGTTGAGGCAAGATAATCGCTTACGCCCAAGAGTTTGAGGTTGCTGTGAGCTGTGATGCCATAGCACTCTACCCAGGGTTACAGCTTCAGACTGTCTCAAAAATAAAAAAATAAATAAATAAAGCCAGCCAGGCTTTACTTACTGCAGTGCAACACGGTGCAAAGGAAATCAGGTGGACCTGGAATCAGGCATGCCAAGGCAAGTCTGACCACACAGCTTACCAACTGGAACCTTTTATCCACTTCTCTAGGGCTGTTTTCTTTTTCTAAAACAGGGAGGATACTACCTACTTCAAGGGGTGGTTGGGAAAACGACAGTGACTCTGTGACAGGGCCGGTGGGTGGGAGGTAGGAAGGGAGCGGTTCTGAACTCCGTAAGAATGTATACAAAGCGTGCATATTGGAAAATGAACCTGTTTTGTTCTGGGACAGAAGGTCCACAACTTTTGTTCATTCACAAAGAGCTACATAACCTTCTATAGTGTAAGAATTACAGATGAGATGTGAAAGTACTGCAGACCCATAAGAGGAAGTCAAAACAGGAAAAGTTTCAACAACTTTCTTAGAAGGTCGATTTACAGAACAAACTTCAGCCCCCCATAAAAGGAGCGGACTCGAGGAGGACTCTGAAGGCGCTGGGCCACAAGGCACAATGCAGTTTTGAGGAAGACGGTTTGCTCCCCGCCTTCCAACAGCCGCAGCCCAGGGAAGGAGAAACCGCTGAGACCCAGGCCGCAGCAGCTCTTCCCGAGGAGCGCCCCGCAGCGTTTCCGCGGGCTGGGCTGTGCGGGGAGCTGGCAGCGGGGGCCGGCGGCGTGTACCGGGCCCCGCGTGTCCTCGCGCTGCGCCCGGCGGGGACCGGCGGGACCGTGAGCCCAGTTCGCGGGGCTGCGGAGAGCAGCGCTCCTCCACCGGGCCGGGCCGCGGGTGGGAAGCGAGAAAGCTCCCAAACTCCCGCCGACCGAAGTGCGCCCACTTTAGCGCTGGAGTAGTCACACCGGGCCGGGGTCCGAGAAGGCCCTCGCGGGTCCCGAAGGAAGCAGTGACCGGAGGTCTAGGGCCCTTCCCCCGCACGGCCCCGTGGGGGTCCCAGGGGGCCCCAAGCCTTCCCCTGGCCTCCCGGGGGCCGCCACGTCACGGAGGGTGTGCCCCCGGGCTCCGCAGGCGGGCGGGGGAGGAGGCGGGGTGGGAGCCGTCTCCCGGGCCACGCCGACCTGCAGTCCCCGGCCCGCTACCCTCCCTACGCGGGGCCCCGCCGCCCTGCACCGCGCCGCCCCTCACCCGCCTCCCCAGCTCCAGCGCTCACCGAAGGCCTTGGGACCTGACGCCCACAGGCCGCTGGCAGCCCACGACGGTTGAAGCTCCTGTCTCTTTAAATCCGGGTCCTTGAACTGGTGGCGGCGCGCAGGCGCAAACACCAAGACAGAGCCACGTGACCCGTCCCCCCACTCCCCCACCCCCACCCCGCCGGCCACGTGGGTCGTGGCAGTGGATTCAGTACAGTAGGGTTTAGGGTTGGTCCCCGGTCTGTGAGCGGGCGGGTCCGGGACGCGGAGGTGAGAGGATGTGTTGGCACTGTGGCTCGTAGCCGGAACTTCCAACGATCCCTTGACTTTCTGATGCTGTTAGAGCTTGTCTAGTTTTTAAAGATACTCGTTAAGAAACTGTATTGTAATGAGTTTAGGGAAAGCAAACCGGGTTTTTCTGTATTTCCTGTAGCTTGTGTCCCACAAAGTGTCTAGCACATAGTAGGTATTCAGTAATTTTAATGAATTGAAAAGAGGCACTAGGTAGTAGGTAGACAGGTGGATACTGTGTGTGAAGGAGTATGGAAGAATAACCCCCTTTATTGTATTTCTTTTAAAGTGTTTTGAACCTCAAGCCCGCTCTGAGCGTTTGGGATGGTTGTTTTTACAGAAGAGAAGTTGGCTCAGAGAAAGTAAGCTACCTTGTCAGTCTAGGAACAGCAAACAATTGGGCATTGTTACATAAACAAAGAACAGATCCCATGGGGAATTTTGTGCCCTGAGATGGGAAGTTTAACCTTTATTCTGAGGGGATAGTAATTCCTGTTGAAGCTGGATGGGAGAAAGACTGAGGAAAAGAAACAAATCAGAACGCTCTTGGCCAGGCAGCGTGGCTAACACCTTAATTCAAAGAGGCAGGAGCATCTTCGGAGTTAAGAAGGTGGAGACCATCCTGAGCAAGAGCCAGACCTGTCTCTACTAAAACAGGAAAATTAGCCCTTGTGGTGCCATCTGTAGTATGAGCAACTCGGGAGGCTGAGACAGGAGGATTGTTTGAACCCAGGAGTTTGAGGTTGCTGTGGAGCGAGGCTGACACAACGGTACTACTCAGAGCAACGGAGTGAGACTCTTGTCTCAAAAAAAAAAATCTCTGGATTTTTTTTGGATAGGATTCCATGTGAGAGGTGAAATTCAGTTAGTTGTGGTGGAAAGGAAAGTACAGTTTTGAAAATCATTTAGATTTTGAATTATCTAGATAAAGTGCTCATTTATCCTTAAAGATGACTTGGCTGGGCATGGTAGCTCAGGCATTACATCCCTTTAGGAGACCTGAGCAGGAGGATCACTAGGGCCCAAGAGGTCAAAGGTATAGTGAGCTATGGTCAGGCCAGTGCATTCTAGCTTGGGTGACATTGAGAACCTGTCTAAAAACAAAAAGGAAAAACGAAAGAAAAAATAAGCATGACATGAGTAAGCAGATAAATAGTAATGGTACTGTTAGCTAACAGAGAAAATGGGGGGGAGGTATTAGACATAAGAAGCTGAGTTTTGTTGCAGGTGTATTGTTTGGTTGACTAAGGACAGCTGTGATTCCACTTTTGAATGTAGCAGAATAAACTGAACAAGGTCTTTGGAGTTGGGAAGTCACTGGAGGCTCAAGTCTAAATTTTGGTATTTGAAGGACCCTGAGCATATTTCTGCGGCTGTATTCACTACATTGTTTTGAAATTCTCCTTGATTGTATCTGTCTTTTCCCCAAAACTGTGCTATTAAATGCTGTCATCACTAGCCTTATGTGGCTCTTGAGCCCTTGAGATGTTGTTTGTAATTGAGATGTGCTGGGAGTGAAAAATAAGCTACTGGAAAAAATGTAAAATATCTCAGTAATACAGTCATGCATCACATAATGACTTTTAGGTCAAGGATGCCCCACATAAGAGAGTGGTCCTATAAGATTATGATGAAGCTAGGCTGGGCTGGCTAAGTGGTTAGGGTGCTGGCCACGTATGCTGGGGCTGGTGGGTTCGAACCCAGTTTGGGCCTGCAAATGACAATTACAGCAAAAAATAGCCAGGCGTTGTGGCAGGGCATTGTAGTCCCAGCTGCTTGGGAGGCTGTGGCAAGAGAATTGCTTAAGCCCAAAGAGTTTGAGTTTGCTGTGAGTTGTGATGCCGTGGCATTCTTACTGAGGGCAACATAATGAGACTCTGTCTTGGGGGGGTAAAAAAAAAAAAAAGTTAACAATAAAGCTGAAAAATTCCTTTTGCTCATGTGTTTGTGTGATGATGGTGTTAAATGTACATTGCCAGTTGTATAAAAGTATAACATATAATTAATTACATATAGTACATAATAGTTGATAATAAACAACTATGTTACTGGTTTATGTTTGTGATATACTTTTTATCATTATTTTAGAGTATACTCCTATTACATCCAGCTGGTCCCTCAGGAGGCATTCCAGAAGGCACTGTTATCATAAGATGTGACAGTTCCATGCATGTTGTTGCCCCTGAAGACCTTTCAGTGGAACAAGATGTGGTGGGATTACAGGCGTGAGCCACTGCACTGGGCCCGACCTTTTGGATATGTTGCGTTAAATAAAATATATTCTATTTGATCTCACCTGTTTACTTTTTTGAAAAGGTAAAAACTAGAAAATATAAAACTATGATGCGTGCTTCATTCACCCTGTTTCTGTTGGACAGCACTGCCCTTGCCATCTCTGCCTTGTGCATCTTTTTATCTTCAGTGCCTAAACAGTGCTGGGCAAATAGGCATTCAGAAAATATTTGTGAACAAATGAATGAAACCCATGAGTGAATGGAGTAGATGAATGAAACACTGGAAAGGATAAGATCTCTTAAAAGGATGTTTATTACCTTGTATTATGCTGTGTCTTTGAAAATATTTGACATAAATTTGCAAAACGACAGGCTCTAAATGTCTGTTTTGCTTGATCGGAGCTCCATAGAAGCTGTAATCTCTGTGACTCAGGTCCTTTGCTGTGAAATGGAGTTAGGTGTGGAAGTTAGCAGTTGCATTTCTTTTTTTTTTTTTTTTTGAGACAGAGCCTCAAGCTCTCCCCCTGGGTAGCGTGCCGTGGCATTACAGCTCACAGCAACCTCCAACTCCTGGGCTCAAGCGAGTCTCCTGCCTCTGCCTCCCAAGTAGCTGGGACCACAGGTGCCCGCCACAACGCCCGGCTATTTTTTGGTTGCAGCCGTCATTGTTGTTTGGCGGGTCCGGGCTGGGGATTCAAACCCGCCACCTTAGGTGTACGTGGCTGGCGCCTTAGCCGGTTGAGCTATAGGCGCCGAGCCAGCAGTTGCATTTCTTTAGATAAGGGAGAACCACTCTACCAAACAGGATTAGGTAAAGTGTGGTGGGCATAACACAGATTTGAAGTGTATTTAACCACCAGCTATGTGTAACCTTCACCTATTAACTTCTCCGGGTCTTAGTTTTCGTGGTGAAATGGGGATAGTTTTGTGTTTTACATTTAGGTCTTGAGTTAAAGTTGAATTTCTGTGAAGAGTGGAAGGTTTGTGTCTAGATTCTTTTTCTTTTTTTTGAACATGGATGTCTGATTTTTCCAAGCACCATTTCTTGAAAAGACTGTCTTTTCTCCAGTATAAAGACTGTCATGTATTACTTTTGCTCCTTTGTCAAAGATCAATTGACTATATTTAGGTGGGTCTATTTCTGGGGTCTATGTTCTGTTCCATTGATCTATTTGTTCTTGCACCAATACCCCACTGTCTTGATTACTGTAGCTTTATCATAAGTCTTGACATCAGATGGTGCTGGTCCCCCAACTTTGTTCTTTTTAAATATTTTGTTGGCTGTTCTGGATCTTATGCTTTTTCAAGTACATTTCAGAATCAGTTGAATAATTTGCTGGGGGTTTTTTGGTTTTTTTTTGAGACAAAGCCTCAAGCTGTTGCCCTGGGTAGAGTGCTGTGGCATCACAGCTCACAGCAACCTCCCACTCCTGGGCTAAAGCGAGTCTCCTGTCTCTGCCTCCCAAGTAGCTGGGACTACAAACGCCTGCCACAACGCCCGGCTGTTTTTGGTTGCAGCCATCATTGTTGTTTGGTGAGCCCGGGCTGGATTAGAACCCACCAGCCCAGGTGTATGTGGCTTGCGCCTTAGCCATGCCAAGCCACAGGCACCGAGCTAATTTGCTGGGATTTTGATTGGGATTGCATTGAACCTATAGATCAAGTTGAGAAGAACTGACATCTTGATAATATTGAGTCTTCCTATCCGTGAACGTAGAATATCTCTCTATTTAGTTTTTTGATTTCTTCCATCAGAGTTTTATATGATAACTTTCCTTACATAGATCTTGCACATATTTGGTTAAATTTATGCCTATTTCATTTTTGGGGGGGTGAAATGGGGATAAAAATACCTTGGGATTGTGTGTGATAATTAAATGAAATGACTTGAAAACTCTTTGGCACATAGAGGTGTTTTAGTTTCAGTAAATGTACATTCTTTCCCACTCCCTAACCTGGATACATTCACATTGCTGTGGAGTTTAATCACTCACTTAGTCACCAATTACTCAGTCAAGTATTTATTGAATGCCTATTCTGTCAGGCACAATTCCTAGAACTGAAATACAATAGTGAAACAAAAAAGACAAAAGTCCTTGCCCTCATGGAGCTAACAGTCTAGTGTGGGAGACAGATAATAAAACAAGTAAAATGCATAGGATGTGAGTGTCCATGGAGAAAAAGAATGCAAAGGAGAATTGGAGGTGTGGGGCAGAATCGGGAGGCATGAAGTTTTGTTTTTTTTTAGAGACAGTCTCACTTTATTGCCCTTGGTAGAGTGCTATAGTGTCACAGCTCACAGCAACCTCTAATTCCTGGGCTTAGGCAATTCTCTTGCCTCAGTCTCCTGAGTAGCTGGGACCACAGGCACCTGCCACAACATTTTTTTTGTTGCAGTTTGGCTGGGGCCGGGTTCGAACCTGCCACCCTCAGTATATGGGGCCAGTGCCCAACGCACTGGGCCACAGGCGCTGCCCAAGTTTTAAGTAGAGATCAGGAAGGACTCACTGACAAAGTGACAACTGAAAAAAGCCTTGAAGGAATGAAAGAGCCACATGCCACTGAGGGTAGAG